TCATGGCCATTACTAACAAGGGAATATTGAAACTATATACATATTTCGTATAACAAGAGACAGAATGTTCTATTTTTCACACTTCCATAATTATGATTTTTATCACACCTTCTCATGCAAGTTTCTTGTTTAGTAAAGTATTTGGATAACGATAGGCTTAACGCTATGGGGAACGGTGTGCGGTTATTAAAGTTTCCCCTGATGCTGAAATCGACAACTGGGGATTTGTAAGCAAACAGACTGAAACTAATGGTACGTGTTTTACATTGATGTTTGACTAATCGAATCCAAAGTCGCAGATCTGACCTGGCTGTAATAATATGCCATTGTATGCCTGGAGATATGTATCGATACTTTCACGAGGGCACGGGTTGCTCAGTCGTCTAAGGCACCACAATTCGCTGCGCAGAGTTGCGTCCCTTAGGCATACCGGAAATATATGATTTGGGGTTCCCCTGTTCGGTCCAGGGGCGGTCGGGTAGCCTAGTGGTTAAAGCGTTCGCTCGTCACGCCGAAGACCCGGGTTCGATTCCCGACATGGGTACAAATTGTAAAGCCCATTTCTGGCGTCCCCCGCCGTGATATTTGCTGGAATATTGCTAAAAGCGGCGTAAAACCATACTAACCCACTCACTGTTCGGCCCGACCCGCTTATGTTTCTAGGTTTGTCAGCACCAAAGCCGTGTTGGTGGTTTCACAAATGTGGTAAATGTCTGAGACTTGCATTACTTGAGTGTTCTTCCTATATTAAGCCGAAGCGCCATGATATAACTGGAATACGGCGTAAAACCAAACTTACTCACTCACTTTTGCAACTAATACTTATTTTCTCCAAAGCAGTATTCGTACACATATTGTCCATTCTCTACGATTCGATTCCAATTCCTGACTATTCAGGCAACGTTACTATAACTGTTTTTGACACCTGTTGGATTTAGAAGAACAAATACACTTCAACACAGGAACATATGGGTAACAGAATAATAAGGCGCATAGGTTACCGAGAGAGGGAAAGTAGACATTACTTCACCACTCACTTATTGCTTGAGAAAGAAATAAGTCTTACCGCACCCCATTCGCAAATTATGGACAGCTTTATAACTTGACTAACTTACACTCCTTGAAATGAAATAATGTAGAGGTTGTATAAACATAAATCTGTCAATCTCTCAATTCACGAAATGCTAATAGCCGAAAAGGGGATGACAGTTGGTTGTTTGGGATGAGAAGGGGATAGGAGCGGGTTGTTGGATTTAAGAATGGATAGGAGCGGGTTGTTTGGGTAATTGGTTATGTATCTTGTTCCTGAAAGAGACATTACTTTAAACCACGCACTGATACAAACGGAAATCGGCTATACGTTATGAGTATATCAGCGTTTACTCCACGTTTTGCAGGACTGACATAACATCCAAACGTTGAAAACCATGATTAGCATGGCTACTATAAACGGATACCCATGATGACAAATGAAGAATAATATACTCATTGACAGTTCACCAATCTAACCGCTGACAGGATACAAGTAGTTATTCATTACGTCAGAGGCAGCTATTTGTTACAGCGATACCCTATACCTTTGAGTAGGCTTCATTGCAGGTGACCAGTGCAACAATCATTGTGACACCAAACCAGAGCAGCCAAACCCGTATGTGCAGTGTCCGTCAAAAAGTAAGTAGCGCGTCTTTCATCATGGGACGTGTCAGTGGTATAGAAAGCAGTTCAATTGTTGTGTTCACATTGTTGTGTATACGTGAATAAGTCCCGAGGCGATCATAAGGCACTGACCATTTGATATTCAGGGAGTGGAGTGAGGTGGGAGTGGGTCGGGGGATGGAGGACAGGCATATTTGTCTGAGGGCAGTTTGTCCCTGAATGGGAGAGCCAACGATTCTTTACTTACAAAACGTTATTTTCAGATCCTGCATGCTCAGCAAACAATGTCCCTTTTTTTTATAAAACCAACATATTATCCCATCCCTTGGTCCTCCCTCAAAGGGATACGGTTCGTTCAGTCGCCAAAAGCGCTGCAATGTGCCTTCGATGTGCCAGAAATCTATGATCTAGGGTTCGAATCCCGATGCACCCTGATGCTGTTTCTAGGTTCACATAACCATACCCGTGCTCGTGGATTTCACAAGAGTGGGGCGGTTTAAAAACTGCATCACTTCGGGTTTTCCTCCCTCATCGAGATGACACTCTCTGTAATAACTGAAATATTCTTCAAAGCGCCTTAAAAGTACGTATTATTTATTCACAACGATTTATTATTTATTATCGAAATCATAGAGCAATTATGATATTATCTACACGTCACCATGTGTGTCAATTGCTTAAAGCGTTTACTGATCACGGTTGGGTTTGATATCCAACATGGACAAACGTGTGAAGTCTTTTCTTGGCGTCAAATAAAGTGATATAACTTGGTTTAAAGAGGCGTTAAAATCCAGTCACTCACGTGTACCCCCGTTTCCTTCAACGAATATATAATTGTCGAACCCTAGGTCCAATTCTCTGGTTCACAAAGATTTTTCTTCGCGTTAACGTTGTCAGCTGGGAAATTAACACATGTCATACATAGACTCTTATTTATACATGAATAATGAATAGAGCATATCACTGCACTTCATCTGTTCAATTTCTTCATTTGATTGTGAAGACCCTGTGGGGACAAATATTGTCACCTGGCCGAGTGTTGCGTCGGACACGTTGGCTTATCTTCACATCTCATCATAACATTATACAACCGATGAGGTTCGGTCTACCAGGTGTTGACATGCTATATTTTAGCTATTAAGCATATGTTGCTCCCTTACATTGGGAAAGTGCGTACTCCTTGTACGATAAACCTTATAAAATATGTAATCAAAAGTTATAACTGTAATACAAGCTTCAAAACATTCCATAATCATAAAAAATATTTTCCAAAAGCAGAGTCCATTGCACGATTCCGACTTTATCATAAAAAGTTTATGAATCATTATCACATAGTGATGATACCGGGTGTTCGCGAAAAGGTAAGAAAATCCTGAACCCAAACTGGCACCCGTCACAAACACAGGCAAAGGTAAGTAAGTTGTTTAACCGAACAAACACGGTATCATATGGTACACGTCAAAATAGGGAATTGCATCGCACAACTTTTTTATCACTGATGTGTCAAATTTGGAAATGTCCTCCCACTGTCTACCATAAAACGTTTGGAAACAACATTTGAGAAAGAACAATTTCTCCGGCTTGGAGATCATTATTATTTAGTTGGTCATAATGGTTCTTAAGAAGACATAAATTACTTCTTCACAATGTCCAAGTATGACGCCGTATTAAGACTCTAAATCATTGATCTTGCAGTCATTGGCATAACGTCATGTATCCAGTACCCTTTTGTAAGGATCTGGCATTTATATGTTTGGTATTCAACTTCGTATTTCATGTTACGTTACAGCCAATTTATTTTGGTTATGTTTTAATATATACCAGCCCGCTATTGCCACGGCCATAATGCATTTCTCCTATGTGTCTGGCTCTTATCAAACACGTAAATGCATAGAAATATAAATGAAAACCGCATCCAGGTATCATCAGACACATATTCTGACGGTGTGGTTCGAGTTTGGGAAACAAGCAATAAACCGCAGACATGCCCATCCCTGAGCATGTTTATAATAACAACCGCATCTGTAGCTAGACGTCATACACTCTGTATTGCCTGGTATCAGCAACTCTCTTTAAACTCTTAAAGATCAAATCTATTATATCCGAGGTGTATTTACCAACTGGTTTACCCTCATACAAAGTGCGAACCTCTTGGGAGCATATTGGCCGTGTGTTTCAACTCGGGTAAATGAACCCCAGATTGCTGGTTTGATTTACGTTTGATTAAAAGGCGTGGAAACCATTTAAATAACATATTTTAGTAAAACATAATTGATCTTTCGGTTCTACTCGGTCCCTTCATATATCTAACCAGAAGTCTCAGTACTCAATATGATCGATGTGAAACGTTATTCAGTAACGTAATACTCGTATCGATTAAATAAATGATTAGTTAGTTAATGATACGGGTACATTGGGTATGAAATGTGTTTATAAAACCGTTTGACAACTATCAGCGTGCAGTGAAGTATGTTCATATATTCCGAAATTCGATTCTGATTCTAGAATTAATAACAGAAGTTCCCAGCTCAGTAGTAACAGAGCAAGAGACTGCTTCATTAGGGAGAAAGAATGAAGATAAGGTAAAATATTGATACTAGCCTTTATGATAAATTTAACGAGTCTCGGGTCACGCCTTGCTGCCAAATCAAACGGTCAGAAGGACGTTTATGACCTTCGTTTACAACACCTGGACGCTTACACTACTAAACGTCTCTTTGATCGCTTCTTCAAGCACTGGAGGAAGGGTAATAACACCACTGATGGGCCACCAAGTATGATTAATGACGAATTTAGTTTAAATCCACAAGAGTAATGAACCGTTAAGCACGTGATGAAATTAACTATCCACGGAGAAATCGCCATTAGTATTTCAGGATAGTTAGATTTCAATTAGTGCATGGGTATAGCGCCCACATGTATATGAAAAGCCCGTGACTTAAATTTAACATATGCCAGATAATGTATCAATCCTTCAAAGGGAAAGATATATTAACTGATATATACATGTACGTTATTGGTTAAAGAAGTGCAGGCCACAGATAGAAGTCACCATGTATTTTTCTCCGATAGCCCATTAAATGGTTACAATGAATTAAAAAAATGTCAATGTATAAAGAAAATTCTTTTTGTCGGGTTAATGCATTCTGGTGAGAGTATTTACACTGGTAAACCCTACATAAGCATGTTTCCGTTGTCTTCATTCCCAGAACCTAATTCAAACTAAGGTTATGTTTCTTTTGAAGTTTTCTTTAGAATACAAATTCTTCGTAAAACTGACCATCAACTTTAGTACGCCTCATCACTAAGGGCAGATACGTACATAAAAAAACGACTCAACTTACCTCAGCTTTCAAGAAGTTCTCATCGCGAAGAACACACACTTCACAAAGCAAATGCCTGTAACATGTGTCTTAAGATACGGGATTTCGATCGAACAAAGATAGTGCTGTGAGGCTACGCACGGGAGATGCTCGCTCGCCGATATCTATCCGCCAGAGAAAAATCCACCATACCGTGCACGTGTTTTCTGGTGCTATCCCTACATGCTTTGCAGCTTTACAATGTCTGAGTAACAGCATGCCGTGAATACTATGGAGAGAGACCATACAGCTTAGAATGTTAATCAGAGTTCAGCTATTGGCCAACGAAGTCGCTTGATCTAAACTCCACGTGGAACGGAGCGAATGGGAATTTACTGCTGAGGCGGCGGGTTGAGAGAACTAAGCTAACGTTTGGTGATATTTCCTCCGGCGACAGGCTTTTGTTGATCTGGATGTTTCGGGGCTGTCCATGTGTGATAGCTTTTCAAATGACAAGTGCTACATCTTGCTAATTAGACAGCATGGTCGGTGGCCCAAATGACGGACTACAGCTGTGGCCTTTTTTGTAAGAGTGGGCGTCCCATCGAGTAGCAGTTCTTTATGCAACTAGTGACCCTATCGGTGTTCTTTTATCACAGCCAATACAGAAATATTGGTACGCCTATCAATCGATGCATTACGTTAATATTATTTATTTCTTTAAGAATTTTTTACAATAACAGTAATGGTAATGATACGTTGCTGACCTAATAGGAGTATATTCTTGCTCATAACAAATGTCTTCTTCACGATGATAGTATATTCTTGCTCATAACAAATGTCTTCTTCACGATGCTAGTATATTCTTGCTCATAACAAATGTCTTCTTCGCGATGCTGATCACGTAGTGGATGGTCCTATAGTCAATCTTCCGTTTGTGTCGAGCAATATTCCCTCAGCTCCTGTCTTTGGTGTCTACGTTTCACAACTTTTTGAGTTGCTGCTTTTTCAAACAGCGTCATATCATTCTTGCTCCAATGTGGTCCGGGGCGGTCGGGTAGCCTAATGGTTAAAGCGTTCGCTCGTCACGCCGCAGACCCGGGTTTGGTTCTCAACATGGGTACAATGTGTGAAGCCCATTTCTGATGTCCCCCGCCGTGATATTGATGGAATATTGCTAAAAGCTGCTCACTCATGATCACTCACTCTAAGGTTGTCTGATCAGGGTTACAACACTCAAGGTCATAGTAAAGATTTTAAAAAGCTTTATGTCAGACATGTGGAGGACATGTCCAAGTTTGACGCATCAGTGATACAAAATATGTCTGGTGACGTGTACCATATGTTTCAAAGTTTTTCAGGTGACTTGCCTTTGATTGTTTTTGTGACGATTGGCACCGATTGGGAAGAATACGCTTACCTGATAACCAACACCCGGTATCATCACTTTTTGATAGTACATGCTTATAATATAGTCGGAATCGTACAATGGACTCTAGTGTTAGTAAGTGTGTGAGTTTTTGTTAAAGCCGCTTTGAACAATATTCCATTTTATTCACAGCGTGTCCGCTTGATGTGGGAGGAAAGCCCGAAGTGATGCAGCTCTAAGACGTTTACCACTTTTGTGAAACCCTAACGCACGGATGTTGTCCTGACCTGGAAACATAATCGAGGCGCACCGGGATTCGAACCCAAGATGATAGGTTTCTGGTGTGACCAGTGGTCGCAACTGCGTAATTGCGAGATCTCAGATGAATGAGCCATCCGTTTTCCCGACTAATCATGGAAAGGGTTTCGTTGCTTTTATTTTTGTCCATCATTAAAAGACTTTAAGTGAATATATTTGCATATGCATAATCATAGTCAAGAGTGAATGGTGAATGGTCATATAAACAAATAAAAAACCTTAATATTTATTCAATTATTGTGGACCTTAGAGCAAACCCATTAATCCGTTGCATTAAAATTGCACAGAGCATAACTACTGAACCTTCTACGTTATGAAGCTTAAGGCAAATGAACCAATTTTCATATATTTTATTGAATGTGTAACAGTTGGAGGCCTCATCTATCTTAAACAATAACAAACAAAACTTTTCAACAAGCATTGAATTTGTGTGACACGTATACCTCGTAAATTCAACACCAACACTTGTAACCAGTCGCAATCGCAATTGATCTAGTAATGTTTCATAGCGTAGTAGTAAATATTGTAACAGACTCAATTACACACGTCTCAGCGGTTTAATTAATGATGGCGGCATCCTGAAGGTCGATGCGAAAGAATCCATTAATCTTCATGTTGGCCTCGACTAGGCATTTGCTACTTTAACGAATCTATGTAAGTGTACACAGCATGTGTGGAAACAAGTCGCCTCTACTACTACTACTACAACTACTACTACTACTACTACTACTACTACTACTACTACTACTACTATTACTACTACTACTACTACTACTACTACTACTATTACTACTACTACTATTACTACTACTACTATTACTATTACTGCGCACTTATCATGAGTTTTTGCAGTGGGTTGGTCTTGTACTTTCCATGACTAATGGCTGTGATTCAGTGACAAGTGCCGGTAGAGAAGATTGTTTCCAGCAGGAAACTAACAAAAAAGACATCTCTCCATAATAGATCATGATTCCTCTTCTGCACCGAGTTAATAGGTTTTAATGCCAATTTCAACTTGACTTCAGTCATATGACGATCTATTAATGAACAAGAAAAGTCAAAGGTGTCTGGTCGGACAGGTTTACCTCCTTGCTACCCCACCAACCCTGGTTTTGTACCGACAGATCCGGAATAACAACCAAGGCAACCATTTTTTATTCGAACCCATGACCATCAACTGATCCTGGCATGGCTGAAAGACATAGATAGATTGCTAGAATGTTCTCTTTTGACACATTTGACAAATTTGTATATATACGAATGTTTGAAACATGTCCAAATGGTTTATTGAAATTCAAATTGTGTGATTATATGTCAAACACTAACGGTCTTGATGATTATTTCAAAGAGGAAAGCAGGTGATATAACCATGCAAGATTTACATTTCTACGTACATGGCTTCACATATTATCCTGAATCAGAACTAATTGTCATATGACTGATCAGAATTCAACAACCTGCAGTGATACGGATTACGCTGTTGCGCAGTTACGACACAAACTAATTTGAATGTCACGTGACCGGACATATTTCCAGTTTGTCAACAAAGGCTGAACAGAGCAGACATTGCTAATCTCAATGTGAAGTACAGTTGGTGAGCGCAACTGAGTTGAGCTGTCCAACTACAATCGCGACAGTTACGAATATTACGCAAGTGACATACAATGACAGCAATATAAGGGTAACGCTATTTTTCAGGGCATTATCATTTGCAGAAGCCCGAGGTCTTCCATTAACTGCCCGACGAAGGAGGGCAGTTGAAAAGACCGAGGGCGTCTGCAAATGATAATGCCCTGAAGAATAGCGTTACCGTTATTATAGCTAAAATGGATGAAAATTTGTATCAAATAAAAAGAAACAACAATATCGGTTTTAAAACATTTACTGCAATCAACACAAATGTCACTGACCCTCTTTTACAAATATGGAAACGTCATAGAATAAACCAGATGACGTCACTATTTAACGTGACGTCACCTATGCCTACCCTATGACGTCACCCAACAACGGACGTGATAATGGCCCGTCGTCAAGCCATATGAGGGCATTATCAAGTTACAGTGGCCCGCTGATTCTTGATAACATGCGGGCGGTTTACTGATAATTCTATCCATTTTAGCTGTAATGAGCAATAAGAGAGTGAGATACGCATAAAGACAAACACATATTGCACTGTTGCTTGTTATGACGTATTTGAAACGAGAAACTATAGTCCTTTTTCACATGCCGATCTCTGGAGGGGTAAGGATAAAGCCATATACATCGTTAAAACGATACTTATGTTATTCTCGGTCAAGATACATGTACAGTGCCATCCATATCAATTAGCCTATACTAAAAGCTTGTTATGGACTGAGATTAGTATATGTCGTTATACTTGAAGTAAAGTGTTATTCGGCCAAAGAAGATGAACATTAACCAATGAATGCAGCACTATATTATACGTATTCAAATGGCTTATTGAAATTTAAAGTGTGTTATGCTATCAAAGATGAAAGAATGAGACGTAACCAGACTTACATTTATATGTGTGATTTATATCGAATTATGAACACGTTATTCCCAATTTAAAGACCTACATTTATGTAAACTGAAACAGTGCAAGCATAAAAACACCATCCATGTTCATTGAGGATACACTATGCTCACAAACTGTTTCATAACCAATACTGACAATTGTTTTCTTCCAACATCCCAGATTGATATGGTTGTCAGCGTGGACAGAATCATGTAAGAACGTTAAACGGAAAGCAATCAACTGACGTGAGCAGGTCCAATGTAATAACTCTAACTTGCCAGTGAATTGTAGTGATCGTCCACGAAACACACCAAAACCACGTTACATAAACAGGGTTTTGGAGCTTTCGTCATGCCAGTCTATATAATATCAATTACAGACAACGATGGACATGAAACGGATGTTATTTTATATTTAAATATTTGCTTTCAAATCAAAGCAAACGTCTGGCTTCGGTACGATGGTTAAAATCGTGAAAGGGAAATCGTTCACAACCTAAAACGAAGATGACTTCTTGTCCATGTTATTCCTTGTGGAAATGGTTATAACTTTCAGGATGTTTCTTTGTCCTGAACGCACAATTATCTTCTACAGCAGGTCATGATGCGAAATACATGTCACAATCTACCGCTGAGATTGCTTTTAAAATGTAAATAGACATAAAGTGTGGAATCCCTTTGAGAAATTGAGCACGCAAAGGCATGCGTATGATTGATTTTAGGTTTGTCACGAAGTGACCGATCCGTGAGATTTTACATGACTCCAAACGTTTTTTTTTGTTTTTAACACTTCCGATATTCACGATTTGATATGACATTAATTGCAACACACCTTGTATATATAATAAAAAGAGTATGATGAACAAGTGGTTTGACAGAAAAATACAATATGTCACATTATGTTACGTAACGGTATGTCATTCCTTTCACCTTATATATTCCGTCTTTACCAAAATTCAAATTGTACAATAATGTAATTTGATTGTACAAACAGAAATAATTAGTCTGACGATTGACAAAACGTCACTAATACTGGCATTGTTCACAATGCGAATCATGAAAAATCTTCAAAAACAGAAACGCACA